TTTATAGATAGGTAAACTGAGGCAGGGGGAGCTGTGTGTGTGGGTGTGTGGGTGTGTTTGTGCATGCGCGCGCACACACAAAGAGATAGATGAGTGTGAGTTTGGGATTTTGGGAGGACAGCTTTATCGAGGTATAACTTACATCCCATAAAATTTCACCCACTTGGAAGCATACAACTCCATGAGCTTTAAAGAAATTCACACAGTTGTGTGATCCTGCCCACATTCCAGTGTTAGAATATTTCCATCACCTCCTGTCCCTTTGCAGTCCATCCTTGCTGCTCCCAGTCCCTGACAACCCAGGCTTTACCTTCAGTCACCAGAGTTTTGCTTTTTCTAGAAAGTTCATGTAAATGGAATCATGCAGTGTGTAGTCACAGTGGGATTTCAAGCCAGAATCTAACAAGGAAGCCAGAGAGCCAGGACTACAAGCACACAGTTACCAAAGGTTTTCCCCACCTGCCGTGTCTCCAAACCTGCACATCTTCCAAATGAGCTATACATGGGTTGAGGCCAGGCTGAGACGAGATAAAGGGGGTCCAATATCTTGCAGAGTCATCATACTCCATGGAAACTGGAAACAGACCGAATGGCCAGCAGCAGGAGAATGGGTAAGTACCTTGTTGTGTCTCTGCCCTGTAGAATCTTCTTTAGCGAGGAGAATGGACTCCAACGATGTGCAACCATATCGATAAAGCTCACAAACATCACACTGAGTGAAAGAAGCCAGATACAAAAGAGCACATCCTGTGATTCCATGAACAGAAAGGTCAAAACCAGGCAAAACACACCTGTGCAAAGAGAAGTAGGGAGAACGGTTGCCCTTTGGGGAGTAGCGACTGGAAGGGACAGCGGGGGGCCCATGCGGGCATATTCAGTGTGTGCAAGGTCATTGAGCTACACCTTAACATGGTGATGAACACTTCAGAAAAGTCTTGCGTGGTGCCTGGCACATAGTAGGCGATTATTATTCTTGTTCTTTCATCTGCACAGTGTTTCCATGGGAAAGTGTGGTCACTGCAGGGGCTGGCAAGCTTTCTCTGTAAAGGGCTAGATATGAAATGTTTTTGACTCTGCAAACCATACAGCCTCTGTAGCAACGATTCACCTTTGCTGTTGTATTGTGAAGGCGCCTAGGGATGATATGCGAATGAACAAGCATGGCTGTGTTCCAATAACACATTGTTTACAAGAACAGGCAGTGGGCTGGATTTGCTGACCCCTCATCTAGTGAAAGGCTGAATCCCAAAGCCTCCTTCACTGAGTCCCTGTTCAGTCCCTTCCTTGGCCCCGGTTCTCCTATCTGTATAATGGGGAGGCTGGTCTCTGCTCTAAACTACCATCCCAGGGGGTACAGAGGTCAAATGAGCTCATAACCGAGGGAGCCGTGAGGGAGAAAAGAGTAGGAATTAAGAGTCTCTTGAGATTCGGGGCGCCTGGGTGGCTCAGTCGTTAAGCGCCTGCCTTCGGCTCAGGTCGTGATTCCAGAGTCCTGGGATCGAGCCCTGCATTGGGCTCCCTGCTCAGTGGGAAGCCTGCTTCTCCCTCTCCCACTCCCCCTGCTTGTGTTCCCTCTCTCGCTGTCTCTCTCTCTGTCAAATAAATAAATAAAATCTTTAAAAAAAAAAAAAAAAGAGTCTCTTGAGATTCTTTGGTGCAAAGCAAATTGTTATTTCTGCCAAGGTCTGAAGAGAGAAAGCCATTGGCCCCAAGTCACCCAGTGCATACATGGACGCCAGTGTCCCAGGGGTATCCTGGAGGGAGTCAGGACCCACAAGCCTGGCACCACATCTTGGTCCTTGCACCCCAGAGGCTTTTCTCTCAAGAGCCTGTGGAGGAAGAACAGTGGTGAAGAAGGAAGGCTGGAAAACTGAGTCCCCAGTGGGCTGTTCCTCTGAAACCCAGGGCCCCAAAGCTCCCCACTTGGGCCTGCTTTACTGAACAGCCAGTGAGTACAACAGGGATGTGTCCTCAAATCTCCTCAGCCAGGAGTGTCTTCCCTTCTTCCTGTTTCCTGGCAGGCTTCTACTCATCCCACAAGGCATCATTTAGGCTATTGACCACTCTGGGTGGATTAGCCCAGGGTCAATCATTTGGGGTAGAGGCCGGTCTTCAGAGAGGAAAATATAACTCAGAAGGCAAGCCCAAAGCAGCCGGGGGGTGGACAATTCTTGCCTTTCCCTGTGCCTCATTCTCTAGGAGTGGGACTTCTGGAGTCTAGACGTGATTGAAGATAGTAACTATAATAGTAATAATAGTAGCAGGCAACAGTTATTGAGATTTACTACATGCCAGGACCTGTCCCAAGCACTTCAAGTGTATTAATTCATTTAATCCTTGCAACAACCCAAGTAGGCACTATTATTCTTCCCATGTTATAGATGAGGAAACGGGCCCAGAGAGGTTAAGACTCTTACCTGAGGTGACACAGCTCTGAAGTGCTGGAGCTCTGAGGATGATAGAAGTGGCTGTTTCAGAAGTCCAAAATGGGTCCATGTTATCTTGTTGATATCCCTTTTCTCAACTCTGAGTCATCTAAGTCCTTGTCACATGGGAGCATTAAAAGGGGAAGTTGGGAAGGAGAGAGAGAGAGACTCTCTCCAAGAGAATGACTCCCAGTCAGGAGTCAGAGCTACCATATGGGCAACCACCCCTCCTTCTGGATTCATCCAGGAGACACTCCAAGCCCTGGGACAGACGACTGGGGGCTCACGTGGGAAAAGGCCCAGGGAAAACAGACCTAAATCATCGAGGGCATTTATTGACTCATAGGATTGAGAAGTTCAGGAGGAGGGCTGGCTTCAGGGCCGGCTGGGGCCCAGTGTTCAAATGCAGCTCTCAGGAAGCTCGAACTCGCCGTCTTTCAACTCGTTCTTGTGTTCACTTCATTCTCAAGCAGGACTCTCCCAACGTTGCTGCAAAGGCGGCCCTCTAGGGAATTCCCTAGTGAATACTTTAGTAGGCCTCTTTCCCAGCAGTTCCCACAGAAATCCCAGGGCTGACTCTCACTGGGCCACGTTGGCTCATGTGATCATCCCTGAACCAGCCGTGGCCAGGGGAGGGGCCCTGCTGATGGTACCAGCTTGCATCACCTGGCTGCCCCGGGGACTGAGTGGGCAGGGGTGACCCCTACTGGCAGGAGAGGGAAATGCAACCGGCAAACAGCAGTGTCTATTATGAGCCTCTGGAGGGAAATAAAGCATTCCCCACCCAGAGAAGGCGGATGATTAGACTTGGCCTTTAAGGTCTGCAATCCCTCCTTGTCTTGACTGTGGACCTCCGTGACCCCTGTTGGCTTAGTCTGGGCTAAGACCTGGACCTGAGTTTCTCTACCTGCCTCTCGCAGCCCACCTGACTCCACCCACCAGGCTGCGGTACTGATTGTCTGGGAGCACTCGGCCTTTTGCCAACTCCTGACCTCCTGCTTGGCCTATTGCCCCGGTTCCCTAGTTGCTTTGCCCCCATCCCTAGTCTGGCTTTTTCCAACCCATGCCATTCCCCGGAAATACTATCCCCAGTCCAGCAGAGTCCTGGCTCAGAAACCTCCAGCCTTCTCCTTAGCATCAGCAAGGAAAAACGAGCTTCTTAGCCCCATGCCTGGGCTCCCTCCGCCTAGAAGCCTCCCTGACGCTGCCTCCTCATCAAAATGCACCTCCCCTAATTCCTAACTGTGTTGGCCATCCTGGCACACTGGCTCATTTCTTTGCCTAGAGGGAAAGGCTCAAGCTTGAGTCACTGCTGCCCAGGGCCCAGCACACCCATGATGCTCACAGGAATACCCACAAAGCCTACATTTCCAGCTATTGGCATGACCACTCCTCCATTAATGGGCATGAGTGGAAGTCAGCTCCACAGATGGACAGGAAACTGAAAGCAACAGAGAAGCCAAGAGAGGCACAGAGTGAGAGAATGACTGAGAAACATAATTGGGGGGGAGGGGTTGGAGGCGGTGGATCCAGGGAGACAAGTCTGGAAGGAACTTCATCCAGGACAGAGATGTAGACACACAGGGAAGACATCAAAGGAGGGAGCCAAAGGGTGTGAGCTGAAGCATATTTTTGGTTGAGCAAACAAGGCTCCTGTGATTTCTGTTTTGTCAAGTTGAACTTTATCAGGAGTTCAGGAGTTTATTTCACTGAGCAATCAATCCTGGGAAAAACACTAGAACATGTTAAAAAGGAAGGGGGGTGGGGAGGAGAGGCAGACAAAACAAAGGAGAGAACATTTGCCTCCAGGTGGGTCAGCATGGTGAGTCTCAGCAGGCCTGGTTAAAACAATAATCTCACCCCCCCACCCCCCCACCCCGCCTTGCAGGTGGCTCAGCCAAGTTCAGGTTTCAGGTGGAAGACGACGCAGTGAGACAGGCCAGAGAAAAAGAAACTAGTCAACTCTGGAGAGGGAGTCTGAGCTGAGGGAGAGAAGCGCCCCAGCTGCTGGGAGGGGAAAGGGCCCTGGGAAGGCTCTGGTTCTGGCCTGGCCACAAGTCACTTAATTAAGACAAGACAAAGTTACACTCTACCTCTGGGCTGACCCTTCAGAATCCCGGCCATGAGTCACAGCCTCCCAAAGTCAGGGATATGGCAAGCTGGTGCCCTTGACCGGGGGGCAGGCGTGGCCTTTCCAGGAGGGCTCTGCCTCGCTGTCTCTAGGGCTGTGCTCTCACCTCAACAGGGTGGTCCCACATCACCTGCCCACAGTACCTGGCCAGTGCCTCATGACGGCAGCTAACATGACCGTGGGAGTCCCCGCCTGCAAGGAGCTCAGTGTCCTACACAAAGTGAGGGCGACACAGCCGTGTAGGAGAGGCCAGACGCGCCGGCGCAGGACCTTCTCACCATCCATCAGATTCACTCTCTATTATAATGCTACAAAATCACATGGTGCTCATGATTTGAATTTTTTTTATTTTCTGAAATGGAACCATTGTACATTGTACAAACCATATCTACTTGATGGAATAAATAAGTGAAAAATTATACTGCTGTACAACACACCAAAAAAAACAAAAAAACAACAAAAAACTAAACAAAAACCCAAACGTCAGAGGAAAAAAAAAAATTAGGTAACGGTGAAAAAAAGGTCTTTATACCTCTAACCGGGTCCTTGGCGATAATGAACATTCCAAACCATGACATCGTTGGTAATGGGAGGTCACCACCCTATAAACGGGTCCACCGCCTTCCGGGTTCCGGGTGTAAGTGCCAGCACTTTGTGGAATGTGTAGCCGAAGCTCCCCCTTCACGTGTGGCGGGGAGCAAGGTTGCCCTGGGAGCCCTTTAGGCCATGTGGTGGCCACGGAAGGCATGTGCCGAGCGCCCCCCCCGCCCCGCCCCTGGCTCGGCCGCTGAAAGGTCTTAGATTCTGTGGTGGGAGGGGGGGCGAGGGGCACAGGGTGGGTGGGGGACAGTGGCTCCGAGGAGCGGACTGCGTCGGGGAAGGAAGCACATCTGGATTTTTGCAGTCTCACTGTCCTGCGTGGAAGGCCTTCCCGGCCAGCGATGAGTACAGGGCCGCTGGTGCTTTGTCTGGCGTGGCCTCAGCAGCTGGGGGGGGCCCAGTCGGTCCCGGCCACAGGCCCCTTCCTACCTTCAGGCACTTCAGAGAAAAACAAATGACAGCCTCGGTGTCGCAGATGTCGTCTTCATCCTCAACCGCGTTGACTCCCCTTGCCTGTCCAGAGAGGCCACCGCAACCGGAAGGGGCCCCCAGGGTGGCGGGGGGTGGGGAACCCCCGGCCGACGTGCCGTTTCTGTGGATGCGTGTGATTCTCCTTCAGCTGTCTTGGTTCTAACCTCTCATTTCCCAAAAAGAAAGGAAATAAATATCCAAATTCATCTTTCATCAAAATGGAGTTTCGCTGCAAAGAAAAAAAGTTACTCTAGCTCTAGAGGATCTGGAGGTAAAGCCGCCTTGAGATACGCTGAGAGGTAACGCAGAACACAGTTCTGCACAGAGCTGACTGCCTGAGGGGCAAAATTGATAAGGACTTTTTTTTTTTAAGACAGAAACCTTTCGGCATTGCGAACTTCAACATTAAGATTTTCAAAGTTTGTTTTTTGTTTTTTTCCCTTATTTCAGGAGACATTTTTGCATGAGGTATTTGAAATTCAGGAACATTTTGATTCTTCTTGAAGTGCAGGAAATAGATTGGCTCCCTTAAAAACAAGTAAGAGCCTCGCCCTCAGAAACTTAGAAACTGGCAGACACTTTCCATGGTGGTCAGGAGAGAGATCCACACGTCAAAGGTATCAAAGGTGGTACCTGAATATGCACCAATCAGCAAAACAAAAACGAAAACAAAACAAAACAAAAAAACCACAAAACAAAACAACCCCCTCCCCCCAACCCGCCCACCCTCACTCAACTCAAAGGGAGTTGGAACTCCAGTGCAGTAAAGAAAGCTCAGGAAAAGGGTTAAGGTCCGAGGAGTCCATCTAGGAATTAAGAGCAAACCAGGCCTCAGAACCAAACAATCAGGCAGTTCGTCCAAGGGGGTATCTCCATTTTAGTGAGAGGAAGGTGTCCCAGCACACAGGCAGAGGATGGAGGCGAGGAGAGAGGACTCGATCACCCCTTTCTGGAGGAGTGTAGGGCGTCTCACTCCTTGGTGCCTTGCTTCTGGCCTTTGAGGCCCAATCCTCGGGTCTGCTCCCCCATGGGGACCGTGAGTGCATCCTGGGAGCGAGAGGCCATCGGACTGTTGGCTCTGAGCATCAGAACACTTTGCAATCTTGCCTCTCCCCGGGCAGCAGGGGGGTGGGGGGGAGGTTGCCGAGTTGGGGGGAGGCAGAGGGTAGCAGGTTACTGTGGATTTGAAATCCAGGCAACATCGCATGACAGCAAGTTCAGCACCAGCTCTTCCTGCCATCTGCTCCCAGCCTCCTCAGTCCTTTTGTCGTCCTAAGGAGACAATCCTGCAGTCAGCCACAGAAGCCGCTTCGTCCTCGGAGGTGTGGGAGAAAGCCGTGTGGTGGGGGGAGGCTGCAAGTGCCAGAGCAATCGAAGGGTTCTGTGCGTCCGTCTGGGCCACCACGGTGGCCTTGGAAATACCGGCCCCAGATGCCCCGAGGAAGTGAGAGAGCACATCCGGAGGCCAGCCCTCGGCGGCAGTGCCCCGACATCTGAGGATCCTCGGACCTTGGACCCAGGGCCCAGGGCTTGCCTGACGCCCCTGCAGCTGCAGATCAGGCGGCCAAGGAGGTCCTGCTCTTGCGAGGCCTCGGGTCCCCCTCCTCCCTGCCTGTTCCGCTCCAGCTGAAGTCCCGGGTCAGGGAGGAGAGAGGTGTGAGGACGGGGGCGCCAGCTGCCTGGACAAAACCGAGGGCACTTTGCAAAGGGAGATGCAAAACAACTAGGAAAACATGCCAGAGGTCACCTCAAGGGCACAAGGCACAAAAAAAGAAAGCGGAAGGAATCGGGCGAACAGTGAAAAGCCCCGACGAAAACCGATTCCCTGATCGGTACCACCCTCGAATAGCTTATATCGTTAAATAGAGAAGTGGGGGGGGGACACACAAAACAATACAGCAGCAACACAAATGTAATCTTGGCTTCAGAGACAGTGTGCAGACACTCCTGAGCTGTCGACCCCGCCTTCCCAAGGACAGTCCCTTCAACACTCGAGTGTTTTGCTTCACAGCAGAAAGTTCTTCAGTGTCTGAGAAGTTACGCTGTTCTGGGTTTTCTTGGATTTGCACTTGGTAAACTTGGAAAGTTAGTAGTCCTGTCTGCACCCGAGAGGAACTGCTCAGGTGAAGTTGTTCTAGGATTCAACCTGCAGATGGATCTCCCGTGAAACATGGACAGCAGGACTGAACGTACTGTCTACATCTCTTCAGAGTTCTGTTGCGAGGCCTCCAGTTTCATCTTCTTCAAGGGCGGCACTCCTTCCAAATCCTTGGGGGAAGAAGAAAAGAGGACACAGGTTACCACACCAGGAGGGCAGTTTAGGCCAGCCGTGAGGTTGAAGGTCAACCCAGGAAGAAACAGAGGACCGGCCTCTGTGGTTCAAGCCCGCAGTTCTGACCCCGCGGCCCACGTTCACCAAGCCCCATGTCACCTGGGCCCCGCCTGTCCCCGCCACGGTGGTTTCCCTCGGGGTCTCCCAAGCACACTGCCCCCTGTGCCTCTGAGCTCCCCCGTCCCCTGCCCCACACCTGCCAGGGAGGGTCTCCCCATTATCAGCCTTCCAATCTGTCATTAATCGCCAGGGTAATCATTTGTGCACAACTTCCACGTCGACCTCTCCAAGCTCAAAGACCTCGTCCGACCTTGCCATGTGGTCAATGGCTCCTCCTGATACTCAGAGTTTGCTGAACGCACATGTGTGTTATTCTGGGGAAAAGGGCCGTAGTTGTGACCACATTCCTAAGTCCCACGGCGCAGAAAGGTCCGGCATTCACCCCCCCACTCTGACTTTCCCACTCAGGCATCTCCAACCTGACCCATCGCCCGAGACCAGCTGATGACTACCCACCTTGCCCGGCCCCCCAAGTCTGTCGACACCACACCTGCTCAGGATCAAGCTCACACCCCACCTATTAGTCCCACCAACTCCATCTCCAAATACCCCTGGGCCTGCCCACCTCTCCCCTCCACCCACTGCCACGCTCACACAGTCTGCACCTGCACCCATCACCTGCCCAGACAAAGCGGCATCCTGCTCCGCGGTCTCCCTACGCAGCCTTCCACACAGTCCAAGAAATCCCAAAACAGCAATCACACACAGGACATAAAACCCGCTGATACTTTCCCACTGACTCCAGAGCAAGATCCCGACTCCCTACCAGGCTGAGAAGGCCCAGCACCCAGCCCAGGCCCACCTGTGCCTCGTCTGGCTGTTCTCTTCCTTGTCCGCTAGGCCCCAGCCACCATGGCCTCCCCTTTTGTTCCTCAGGCTCACTCCTGTCTCCAGGCCCAGCCCAGAAAGCCTGCGCTCGTGGCCCTAGTTTCTCAGCCTTCAAATTCCCGCTCACCGCCCGTTTCTCTGCCTACACCAGAGTCCAAAGAATGCTCTACCGTCAGGTCTCCTTGCAGCCCCGTTCGGGTTCTTCTGCAGCATGCGCTGTGACCTTGTAATCCGGTCGTGCCTGAGGTGCCCTGTGTCATGGTGAGTCCCCTGCGGGCAGGGAGGGACCCCATCTCCAGCTCACTCTGGGTCCCTAGTATCTGACAGAGCACCCAGTCCACAGTGGGTGCACAATGTATGTGGGCTGTGTGGGAGTTTCACGTGGCAGACCCTGAGAGCGCGCACCGCAGGGAGGCCGAAAGAGCTGCCTCTGTGTTCCCCCTGCTTCTCATTCTGAAAGCAATAAAAGCCCGATACAGACATAACCAGAAAAAGCAGGTACTGTGCCTTCAGAGGATCCCCTGGGTCCCCTTGGGGAGAAGGTTCTTTGGTTCTGCAGAACAGTTGGATGGGAGGACAGCATGTGAGCTTGGGAGTGGACGAGAAAGGGAAAAGGGAGCAAAAGAGAGGAGCCACGAGCTAAGGATAGCCGAACAGGGGAGAAGAGTCAAAGTACTGCTCCTGTCGGGAGGTTGGGGAAGCTTTTTTTTTTTAAACACAGGAACGGCCAAATGTCAGTGTCTAGTTGCTTGCTTAATTGTAATGCATCCTCCACCTTGCTCACAAACCTCGGAGCTCTGTGGATGAGTCTGTGTCCGTGTGTGCCTGAGAACAGTGGAAGAGGCCTCATTCCAGGTCTGGGTCCCCTGGAAATGGCAGTGGAGGTGGGGGGCTTGTGAGAATGGAAGACCCCTGCACCTTTCAGACATCTGGGCGGGGGGAGGGGCGGGGGGAGAAGAGCACTAGATGCCCCCAGGGTACGGATCAAAGGTTTAAGCTATCCTTTCCTCCACTGAGTTCAGAAGGCCAGGAGACCCCAGCAGACATTCTGGTTTTACACACTGTTCAGGAGGCTTTGATTTTTAATCTAATGGGCTCCAGCTATGCCTGAGGTTCTAGGTCTTGCTTTTCTCATTTCACATCGGGAGGATATTTCTTTCTGTCTGTACCTGGATCAGCCACACTCTTTTTAACAGCTCCATACCAGTCTGTCTTATCCATGACCCCCGATTAATTGAACCAGTCCCCTTTCGGCAAACTTAGGTCATGGCTCACATCTCCCATCAACACTCCTTCTGTGTCTTTGGGCATTTGGAGGTGTGTTCTGCAGGAGGAGGGGGCTGCAGATCCAAGGGGATATAGACATTAGAGTCCAGGAGGCACTTCCCCTTGGGGGAGGCCTGGCTTACGGCCCTGCAAAGCGCAGACCAAGTGCTGCTGCACCCTGGTCCCTTCCGATCTTTCTGCTGCTACTTCCTCCAGAGGTACTGGAGAGTAGTTTTATTAGTTCAAGTTCTGATACCTCGGAGTCCCCACTCAGCTTAGGTGGGCACAGAGGGTTGACAGTGAAAAATCACAGTGACGGCATCTGAGGCATTCCCGTGTCCAGCTCCACACCGAGTGTGTTCGCCACATTCTCTCATCCCATCTGCGCCCTGGCCCCAAGACACTTCTGTGATCCCATTCTGGTAGCTGCGGACAAGGAGGCTCAGTTACGCTAAGTGAAGGAGCTGGGATTCGAACCCAGGATGTTTGTTCCTAGCCACTGGCCACCTGCTCCTGCACGGATTCGGACCAGATGCTGACAAACAGGGATGACCCCGAACGGGGTCCAAGCAAGGGGCCGGTGTGGGCAGCTGCAAAATTCCAAAGGATGATTCATCCGGCATTTCGGATCCTGAAGACTTGTCGTCCCCGTGCTAAAGGAAGTTGGCTTGGGGTCACTAGAATAGGCAAGGCTTTTTTTGGACCTGAGTAAACAAAGTGACAAAGCCGAGACTGGGATAAAGGCCGCCTCCTCTTCCTACACCCTCCTCCCTGAGGGCTGGGCCCCAGGACGCTCACGACTCCCGCTCAGTGAATGCAGGGAAGTGCCAATCTTCCGAGGAGAAAACCACAAAACAAAGTAACGAAACCCCTTTCAACGTACCCCCGACACCCCAACGGGCTCCCGGCTGATCTGGCTGCCCCTCTGAGACCTCGATCGAGGTACCTGAGAGATTGCGGACATCTCTGCAGCTAGACCCGCGTCTCCAGATGGCTGCCGTTCACCTTTCTCTGAACTGTTCATCGAGTTTTCCATTGAAGACTGCGAATTCTGCTCGTCAGAAGCATCTGAGGGAAAGCAAGATGACAGAAGCTGTTTTCAGACACGTGAGATGTGGAGCCAGATGGACCAATTACTAAAAATACCTGGAACTGGGGAGTTTTGCGGCCAGGCGGTCTGTCGGGCCTGCAGTGAGTTGGGGCGCTTGGGAAGCCTCTTAGTTTTTCGTCAGCTTGTCTGAAGCGGCCGGGCCCCACGCTGGCCCTGGGGCCTCCAACTCTTGCCTGCACACCCACTACCTGCCATGTGCCCTAAGAGGACATCTTAGGGAATGCTACACGCTTTGTGCCGCGTGCACCTGGCGCCCTCTGGTGGGCACAACGCGCCCCAACCATCATGGCTGCTGACTCCTCCCTTTTCCATTCCAGAGCCTGCGTTCTCCACCTGGGGAGCCGGCCGAGGGAACTGCCCCTTTGTAGACATTTCTCTTAATAATGTGGGTGTTTTCCTGACCATCAGAGCAATGACTGATGATTGCACAGAAACAGAAAATACGGGAAAAAACAAAGTCAGAATCACTGATTACCTCACCCCACCCACAACTACCAACCCACTAACATTTCAGAGGATTTATTTTCATCTCTCCAGATGTTCCCCCCCCTTCATGCATATAATTCTCTGCTCTCCCCAAAAAGAGATCACACAGATTTTTGGAAAAATTTTTCATGTCTTTAAAAATTCTCTGAATACAAGAGTGTACAAGATGACTGCACGGCTTCCATCCAGCAATCACTTATTTATGAATCCTGTTTTGCCAATGATTTGGGCTGTTTCTTATGCACAGGTCTCCCTGCTCCCCTCCCCAGCGCAGTCCTTTAGCAGAAGGGGGTTGCAGGCCGTAGCCGGCTGCACGAGGCGAGGCGGTGCAGCTGTGGGAGAGGAGGTTATTTTGGGCACCGAGCCACAGGGCTCACAGTGGGAGCAGCATCTTGCCCAGGGCCCCACTCGGCTTGCACTCAAGGCCCCAACAACAACCGTCACCCTGGTTTTTTCAAAGGGCACTAGAAGACTCAAGAATGCCACCCTTTCTGGGGTTTCTGAGGCAGAAAAGAAAAGAAAAAAAAAATATATATATATATCCAGGCTTAAGTTTTAAAGCGAGCATGCAAGTCGGCAGCACTCCATGGCCTGAAGCCAGTGGGGAGCAGAGGGCTGGGGAGCAGGGCAGGAAGGAGGTGGAAGACCCCCTCTCCCAAGGATCCTGTCCTCCCAGCATGTCCATCCCAGGGGAGCTGCTCTTAACACATACTCTGCCTCCCCAAACCAGCAGCCCGGATATCCTGAGGGCAGCACCCGGAGACCCACCACCCTGCCAGGGCCTGAGCTTGGGTGTTCCTGCTGCCGCGGGGAGGCTCAGGGGTCCGCCCTCTCCAGGACTGGGCTCTGCCTACAACCTGGTACCTGGGAGGACCCAGGGTTTAGAAATAGACCTTAGTTCCCATCATGCCTCTGCCACTTGTTTCCTCTGGGAGCCCTAAAAGTCATCCCGGCTGACAATAGCCACGCTGTGGAGTCTCGGAGAGGACTTAAAGGGACAGGGGAAAGCGCAGGGGAAGTACTCAAGTAACAAAATAACCCCAGGGGGGAGAAACTACCAGGGCATAGGACCACACTCCCCAACAACCTGCCAGTTCTTTAATATTTTGTTTTACTTTTTAAAAAAATTTATTTAAGTAATTTCTACACCCAATGTGGGATTCCAACGCACGATCAAGAGTCACACGCTCTACCGACCAACGGATCCAGCCAGGAGCCTCTGTTATGTTAAGTCAAACACGGAATCCCTGTACAACCCAGTTCCTCCACCACTAGGTAGAGACCCAAAGGAAGAGGAAATAGGTCCTCAAACTGGTACGTGTACATGAATGTTCACGGCAGTACTATTCCTAACAGCCAAAAGATGGAAACAGCCCAAATGTAAATTAACAAATGAATCAAACGACAAAACGTGGTGCATCCACGCAGTCCACACAGCAAAGTATTACTGAGTCACAGATAGGAGGGAAGGAATGGCACCTGCTATCAGGTGGAGGAACCTTGAAAACATGATCCCGAGTGAAAGAAACCAGACACAAAAGGCCAAATATTACACGCCACTTATATGAAACATCCAGAACAGGTAAATCCATACAGACAGAAATCAGACTGGCAGCTGCCAGGGGTTAGGGTGAGGGGGAAGGGGGGAGTGACAGTTTATGGGTACAGAGTTTCCTTTGGGGGCGATGGAAATGTTTTGGAACTGGACAAAGGTGAATTTCATCTCAGTTTTTTAAAAAGGGAAGAAATCCACTTTAATGTTATGTTCTAGTTCGTAACAGACGTTTGCTTTAGTAAACTTTGAATTGTTATTGCCCTCCTCTGGCCTCCTCTGGCCTCCCCTCTCTGCCCTAAACACTGAGCTCTGCAGACTGGACAGGGAGGTTCAGAAATCATGGCCAGCCACCCCGAGAGTCATGCTGACCCCCTGCCCGGCCTGAGAGCTCAGCGGGAACTGGCCTTAAAGCTCACAGAGCGTGCAAGGACTCGGTGCAGCGGCCTGATTCTCCTAGTGCTGGTGCTGGAACTCACCCAGGGGAAATTATTTTCCTAGGCCTAAATTTAGTCCAGTGAGTTTGGACATTATGTCATTCCCTGAACTCACTCAGCAGTAAACAAGTTCAAAGCAAGGTCAACAGCTGGTGACTAACCCACCCCGACCCGCAGGCTGCACGGACCCACCTGGGAGGCCTTCATGCCTTTCCCATGGGGGCTCCCCCAACAGCGGCAGGCACCCCCTCCCTCGAGCAATGCTGGGCAACTGTGCGGGCCCAGTGGCCTGGGGTCGTCAGAAGAGGACCCCGGTGTAGTTCCCGCCTGGACGGGTAAAGCTTTTGGTGGTAGTGGGGAGAGGGAGGAGAGAGGGGTGTCGCAGTTACCAATTCTGGAAGCAACAACCCAAGAAGCAGTTTCTGCAACTGAGCTTTAACTGGCTTTTAGGGCAAAGGAGATGCAGCCCCCAGACATGGGAGACACGAGGGAGAAAGCACGCAGGATGGGAAAGAAGCCAGGATGTGTGCACACCTGGCCCAGCAGGAGTGCGTGACCTCCCCTCGCTCATGTCAGGCTCAGGCCCGGGTGAGCACTTTTGCTTCCTTTCCGCCCCACTCCTTTCGGGGACTGGATGAGGGAGGCAACTTTCATCTGTCTCACTTTATAAATAAGGAAACAGAAAGGCTCGCAGGAGGGGACGCTGACAGCCCAAGGCCACACGGCTAGCGAGTGTCAGCCCAGATGTGACGGCTCATCCTGTCCCTGGTCCCAGCCCCCTAGTCCCGCCATCCACTGCCCGCAGAGCCCCGGGAGCGGGACGGTGCTGGGGGCCGCCGTGGGGAGAAGCCAGGGAGGCCTCTCAACATCCCACCACACACAGGATGGCCCTGCAGGCGAGACGCGTCTGGCCCCAAATGCCAGCCGTGCTGAGGTTGACAAGCCTTGCCTACCACGTCTCTGGAGGAAAACGGTGGGATCTCCCCCAGTTTTAAATGCCCGCACCTCTGACTAAATACACAGTCCCTCCATCCTTCAGATAAAGATGTGCGGGCAAGACTCTCTGCAGGATCATGTGTGGGGAAAAAACCTGTATGATTATCAACGTGGGGACTATTTAAATAAATGATGACACATTCGTACCACTGAACAGTACAAAGCTGGTAAAGAGAATGAAACAAACCTGTACGTCCTAACATGGAACAATCTCCATGGTGATTGTTAAGGGAAGTATTCTAAAAAAAGGAGATTATAATCTCATCTAGATTCTTCTAGGGCCACCACACTAGACTCAACAGTGGTCCTCCTGGGGCGGGGAGGACACTCGAGGCTCTGGCTGGGGGGCATCCAGTCTTCGTCCTGATGCCTGTGTTATTCCCCGTGTGTGGGGTCACCTGCCCCCCCGCCCCGCCCACAGGCCTACCTGGCATGAGTGCCTTCGCATCCGGCTCAGAAAGGGGGTGCCACACTGAGCACCTGAGACCCGCATGCCTGGCTGGCTCACCCCGTCCCCCACACGTCCCCAGGCCCTGCCCCTGGTCCCTTCTGCTTGCACTGCTCATTTCCCTCCTATCCCCGCTCAGCCTTCGAGCCCACGTCAGGCAGCAGGAAGCCTTTCCTGAGCCCTCTGGGCTCCTTTTTCCTACTAACACAGCACTGACCACAAACTCAAAAGCCCCCTGAAGGGCCAGGCAGTGCCGTGAATGAGTCGTGGGGGCTGTTCAACTCAGACACAGGTAAGGAAATAAAAAATCTGAAGGAATATTCTTCTGTTCCTCAAAAAAATACAGATTCTCCCAACCTCTCAGACTTTTACTTTTCCACTTTTGATAGAGAAATAGGTTAAAAAAAACAACGTAGTTTTTCCTTTAAATGAGTAATAAAGAAAGCAACAGTGATCATGGAGGGATATGGGGCCACGACTCTTGGGCCTCAGTGTCAGGAAGACAATAGGGAGTGGCGGGGAGTGTGGAACTAGCAAATGCAGGCTCACCCACCCTCCCTGGAAGGGCAACCACATCTCTGCTTTAACCGGTTGCTGCTCCATGGAAAAGTGGACCCAGTATTGCCCAATCTTCTGATTTTCTCAAGAGAAGGTGGAAATCAATCTTGTTTAAGTGAAATTGTTTAATTTTAAAATTCTGACATCCAATTCAAATTAAAAGTAAAAACAGCACCAGGCCCGTGGCCACATCCACACGCCCCACGCTGGATCTAGCCTGACTGTGACCTCTGCAGAGTCTCATTCTCAGTTTTGGTGTCCGTCCCCCACTGCTTCCCTCTGAGTGCTTGGGGGGCAGGAAGCAGCCTCACACAGGGCAGGTGTGGCAAAGCGTGTCAAAGGAAATGGAAAGGGGTTCAAAGTGATGCCACAGCAAAGAGAGGCCTTCCTCCCGAGAAGACCCGATCCAGTTCCTCCCCAAGCACAGGGAAGCCTGGCCTCCACCCCGGGCCAGCCCTCTTCCTCCTCTCCTCCCTTCACAAATGCCGGCCAGGCCATCCCCTCAGGTGCCAGGGGTCGCCCTCCAGTCCCCGCTCAGCCCAGGTACCACCTGCCAACACATACTCCCTCTTGGACCTTCAAAATACACCTCGATATCAGACAAGCAAGAGCTACAGACCCATCTTCTTAAGTGTAATGACAATACCTGTGATCAGGTAAGAAAACATTCTAATTTTTAAGAGATGTGTGCTGAAGTGTTCAGGGAAGAAATGCTGCAAGATCTGTAAGTTACCTTCAAATGCCCTCCCCCCCAAATACTTACAGACAAAGCAAAACAAACCAACAACTGCCGAATTCAGCTGACATGTATGGGAGAGTACCCTATTTATTTTTCTGTATGTTTCAAAATTTTCTTCTGCAAGAATCCAGAGATCTCGGGATGCCTGGGTGGCTCAGCCGTTAAGCGTCTGCCTTCGGCTCGGGTCATGACCCCAGGGTCCTGGGATCGAGCCCCACGTCGGGCTCCCTGCTCCGCGGGGAGCCTGCTTCTCCCTCTCCCACTCCCCCTGCTTGTGTTCCCTCTCTCACTGTCTCTCCCTCTCTCCATCAAAATAAATAAATAAAATGTTAAAAAAAAAAAAAGAATCCAGAGATCTCAAAATAGACAAAAATAAGCCAACATATACATATCCACGTACATATATGTCCTCCACAATCAGACTGCTGCTTACCACCTCGTCTGCTCCCACTCTGGTCACACCAGTCGCCACCCTCTTCCATCTGGATGACTGCCTTAGTCCTGCTATCTGTTCTCAATCACAGCAACCAAAGTGACCCTCCAGACCATGGCACTCAGTCCCAATGGCTCCTGTCTCCCTTGGCACAGAAGCAAGGGTCTGTTTACTAGCCTAAGAGCCCCCCACACTCAAGGTCCTGCCCCTTCTGACCTCATCTCACTTTGTGAACCCCTCATCCGCCCTTCCCCAGCCACTAAGCACACTCCTGCCTCAGGGCCTTTGCGCTGCCCGTTCCCTCTGCCCACAGTGCTTTTCTCCCCCTTTCCCAAACCAAAGGGTTTGCTCCCTTACCTAATTTTAGCCTAATCTGCTCTAATGTCACCTTCTCAGTGAGGCCTTCCCTTGCCACCCTATTTAAAATGGAAAATTCCCCATAATTCACCAAGACTCGCCATTCCTCTTTCTTATTATAGTTTTCCACGGAACTTACCTTCCCAAAACTAGACTGTAGGATTTTTAAATTGCCCCACAAGAAGATGAGCTAGTCTAGGCATTACCTTTCTTCTACTGTGACCTTCTAGGGGTCGACATGTGGCTAGACCTCCTAGAGACCTGTCAACCGACTGCACGAAGGCCCAGCCCCTGCGGGCACATACCTTCCACCCCAGGGAGCTCCTTCCCGTCGGCCTGGGCCTCGTCCGCCTTGGCGTCAGTGCTTTCGCCAGGCACTGCTGAGTTGGGCTCCGGAGCAGGGCTTGAGTTACTGCTGTTCTCCTGTTTGATCGGGGAGGCATCCGCTATGGAGCTCTGGTTGCTGTTATCATCTGCACAGGGGGGAAGAGAACCACAGGGTGAAATCCCCCAGCTACTGAGGAAAGGCAGGTTGGGGGCTCGCCCTCCCCAAGCCTCTCTGCCGACAGCCCCACAGGACACTCTCCCAGGGAAGGAGACACTTTCCCGCCCTCAAGACCTTGGAGATGAGCCACCTGGGGCCGTTCCATATGTCCTGCAAGGAGAAGGCTTCCGTGAGCCTGCCTGAACATCCCCCTCTGGCTCCATCCTGTGTGTGTGGGGGGGGGGGCAGCCAGCGACACACGGTGGCCTCTCACGTTTCAAGTCTTTGGGGGGGATCTGAGGCCTCATTCTGGGTGAAGAGGCCAGATTTGTGCACCTGGCTCTGTGGCAACACGAGGGCTGAAGCATGGTCCATGAGGCGGCACTGCCAAAAATGTCCCACTGATCTAATCAAGTGTCTAGACCAACTTCCACTTGATACAAAATAAAGGGGAGAGAACATGTAAATGGAAAGTAGGATATTCCACAGGACAATCGGCCCAGGCTCTTCAAGTCAGAACCATTAAAGAAGAGAGAGAGAGGGAGAGAGAGGGAGTGGGAGGGAGAGAGAGGGAGAGAGAAGCAGGGAAAATTATTGTAAAGAAATTTAAGAGAATTAACAGCTAAATTAAGGACATGTGAAAATTATTTAGATTCTGTTTTGAATGTGCCAGCTCGTAAGGGACATTTTGGAACAACTGGGGAATTTGAATATAGTCTGGGATTTAGAAGATACGACGGAGTAACAGTTACTTATGTTAGGAGTGAAAACAGCACGGCAGGCATATAGAAATGTTATTAGTGACGCGTGCTGAAGGGTTTAGCCACGGACTTAAAACACAACGCAGGGAAACTTCAGTTCAGCACAGGCTGCCTACGACTGTCAGAATTCCCTGAACTGAACACTCGAGAGCTGTGCAGTTTTTCTATGTAAATTGCATTTCAATTAAAAAACTTAATATATTAAAAAAAAAAAAGAAGATGAGGCAAACATGGCATGTGAGTGAAAACCTAGGTGACAGGTGTATGAAGTTCATCACACTAGTCTTCCTACTGTTCTCAATTATGAAATTTTTCATAATACAGAGAAAAAAAGAGAAGTAATTTGAGCACTGCATTCATCGTTGAGCTGGTGGCAGGGCTGGGGGTCCGGGGGCACGTATCCCCTGGCGCTAGACCCCGTCTTAGGTGCAGAGAATCATGTTACGTTGCAGATATCCAAGTGGTGATTTCAAAACTATCACCGCACTGCTTTTCTGGGCCATGCTGTGCACTTGGGACCAAGGCCACTTTTGTGAAACAGAGAGCAAGGAAGAGACACGGAGAAGCACATCCACACATCCTGGGCCCTACTGCATGCTGACACCTGGGCAAAAACACTTACAGTCACTTGTTCCATCCTCCCGACAACCTGCCCGGTAGGTGCTGTTACCTCCCTCGTTTCCAGAGGGGGAAACTGAGGCTCTGAGCGGCAGAACCCCTTGCTCAAGCTGCTCCACCCAACTCCAAACTCAACCTGCCAAGGAAGCGCCAGGCAGTCACACGGTCCCGGCCAGGTAAACTGCATCTTATTCTAAGTGTACTAATTACACAAAGATCCTCTTGAGAATTCTGGGACTTAAAAAAAAAAAAAAGCACACTCTCCTGATTTGCCTTTTAAGAAAATCTAAACCTCCTTCCTACACCAAGCTATGTGTGCATATGTGTAAAAGGCAGAGGCCTGACCCACAAGTCCCAGGACGGAGTTATGTTAATTAATGACAACAAGTACTAATGTTTAACGAGTTAGTTGCCAGAGCCTAACCTGGTCACCTGGTAACGATGTGACCCTGACATTCGAATCAATGTTGATAGAATCTCAGACTCGAAAGAGGTGGCTGCAGATGCCCGCTATCCCACTGGGAGTCTTGCAGATAATCCTGTCCAGGCCCACATCTTTCCTTGCGTTTGCACACATCTATGCCCTGCGGCTGGAGGAGGGTCTCAGCTGCACATGTGCTAAAATGGAAAGGATACTGAGAAGGTGAGCGAGGCTCCTGGGCTGGTGGCCACACACTTGGATTCTGCCTCCAAAGGACCTCAAGGCCAACACTGGCATCCGTGAGCTTCCTAACCTGGGGTGCCACCTCCCCGAGGCCTCATTTCCTAATCTGCACAATGGGGCTTATTTTTAGGATGAATGAAGTAAGGCATGAAATGGGCTTAACAAGATGCTTTGGCGCATTGTGACAGCCTTAAACGTGAGCTACTAACATGCCAAGGGCTTTGAGGGGGTTATCTTATTTAATACTCACAAGGACCTTATGAAGTGGGCATTACCATTCCCACTGGGCAGACTGAAAACAGATCTGACAGTTACATGTTAAGGAACTAGCCCAGGATCACACAGCTGGTTGGGAGGGGAGGGTCCTAGGGAGCCAGATGTGAACCCAGGTGGGATCTCGTCCTCTGCTCTAAAAGGCTCTCACCTGTGAGCCAGGCAGGGGCCTTCTCAAATCCCAAGAGAGTGGGGATCTAAGCAATGCCAGGGGGGCAGGTCACGTCCCAGCTCCAATTCCTGGTTCATTTGTGTTCCATGTTCAGTGTTCAACTGCGATTGTATGGCCAGTGAGGGGCTTTCCTGACGTGTCAGCTGTCAGCAAAACCCCTCCGTGCTTTCTGAAGCCAGCCCAGCAATAAGCAAGACCCCCTGCCCTCAGAGCTTGTGACTGTGTTTTCCAGACTGGTCAGTTTGGGCAAATGCGAAAGTTCACTGGCACTCCTTCCCCAGAGCAGGACAGCCCTGGAACCAGAGGGGCAGAAATGCGATCAGTCCAATATATCCAATACCACCATGCTGTACAAAAGGCCTGGGTGGTCAAAAGGACAAAGATGTTGAAACTGGGATCAAGAGATGGGAAAAGGCAAGTGGTACCAGCTCTGCTAGTGGCAGCCCAGGCAGGTGGCCCCGGAGTGACCACAGTCTCCTGCAGGAACGGCTACGGCTGCCTTGAGGGGAACACACTCCCCGAGTTTCTGGGTGTGATTTCCCAAAGTATGGCATAAATGCAGATTTCCTAGTTTATAAACATCGGAAACTCGATGTTGCAGAAATTTCATGTTTGAACCTCTCAGGTCAGAAGTCCTTGGAGGGGTGGGGACACCAGGGGGATGGCCAGGCACGTTTCCCTCTTGACCTGGGCCAGCTGTATGGCTGTATGGAACCTCTATACCGATCATGAAGCCACACCCTGATGACGTGTGCCTTTCCTATCCATTAGCGAGGTGAAGTGGGAACTCAGCGTGAGCAATGTCAAAACCGCAGACTGGCTAATGCAGGTCTCCAGCCTGGATTCCATCAGGGGGACACTGGTTGTAACTTTTGAAGTAAGACAGCAAAGGAAGGTAGGATGTCATTGTGGAACGCAGGTCCCCGGGTCCCAGAGTGATTAACGGGATGTGGAAATCCAGTCTGGAGTTTCCCAGCAGCCAAAGAGAAATAGGAAATGGAAAACGGCGTCAATTTTACGGTAGGTCAGGCCTAGGAGGGGAAAAGATCGTAGACCCACAAAAAGTTCCTGAGCGCACACAGGGCTGACAGGTCGCACCCAACCCCCCCCCGTCCCCCGTAAGGTTTGTGTCACTGGGCTCAAGAAGGTCTTGTTTTATGTCTCTGGCTTGTTTCTTGTTTTACGTTTCTTGGCTCTGTGCTGGGAAGAGGAGTTTCTCCTCCGCTGAGGCTTCTCCTGGGCACCAAGGCCTCCTGGTGCTGCCCAGCCCTCCTACCCTTGCCTGGAATGTGAACAAACCTGCTGGTGAGAACAAAAGCTGAGTGCTCTGCCGCAGCCCAGGACCCGGCAGGAGAGCTCACCGTGCATGTCCATCATCCCCGGGGAGGAGCTGTTCTCCGGCGTGGTCACCTCAGAGCCACACTTCTCATCTTTACCCTTTTTCTTGTTCTTGTTCTTCTGGAGGAGAAAATGGAGCAGACACCGAGTCACCACATTGTGTGTGCATGCGTGAGCAAGCCCCCGGGGGGTGATATGAATATTTTATTTGGCCGGTTCATCTTGGAGCCTGCAAGTCTCCGGAGGGCTCTCCTTGGCCTGCATTTGAACACGTCCCATTAGGGGCCTCACCTGCCGAAGGGAGGATTCTGGGGCTGGGCATAAACCTGCCTTGTGTGGGGGGCCAGCACCAGCAGGCATGCCAACAGGAACAGTGATGCCGGGTGAGGGACAGAGAAGACACAGATCACCCCCACTATCTGTAGGCCCCACGGCTGCCTACAGCAGTCAGCTGACTCCCGGCAAAATACTGGAAGGCCAGGTGAGGAGGGAGATCCCAAGGAGGAGGGATGGTGAAGGGGATGCTTTTTGTGTGCAGTTCCATTCGGTTTTTTTTTTTTTTTTTACAAATGGAATAGGATCATGTTGGAAATGACCTGTGTCCACTGGTAAGAGTCGTTAAATTACAGCACATTCTTTCCACGTAACATAATGCAATAATTACTGAGAATAAGACAGCTCTTCATATACTAACGTGGAATGATCTACAGAAATATCAGCATATTAGAATATCTCAGTCATCTCCACGATGCATAAAAGGAAGGTACAGAACATGGGAAGGGAAGGCCACTATTCACGGAAAGAAAAGGACACGCGAATGTCTATCCACACGTGTGTTTGTGGGCACTGTCTCTGGAAGGATAAACAAATGCTGGTCGCCTCCAGCCAAAGGAGCTGGGTGGCGTGGGGGCGTACACAGGGACAGGAAGCAGATTTACAAAAAGATATATATATATTTGAAAAAAGCAGCATTTGAAGAATATGCACACCTCTAGAGATGGAAAGTTGATTGGTGGATTCCAGGACCGTGAAGCCAGTGGGGGAGTGACGGCTAACAGGTGTGAGCTTTCTTTTTGGGGTAACGAAAATGTTCTGGAATTACAGCAGTGATGGCTAGATGACAGTGAATACACTAACACTAACTTGTATACCTTGAAAGAGTGAATTTTATGGCATGTGAGTTGTCTTCATGGAAAAAAAAATGTTTTGTAATACTTGAATTCTGTAAATTGGTTTCCCTATTTAAAAGGAAAAAACTTGCTAGAGTTCCAAAGGGGCGGGGGGAATGGTGCAACCATGTTGTAATTGGGTGTTTAGAAAAATAAAAAGCTACCCCTCCACAATACGGATTCCTGGCCACAACCACCAAAGATTCCGACTCAGCTGTCTGGGGTGGGGCCCAGGGACCTGCATTTCTCCATGGTTCCCAGGGGATTGGATGCTCAGCCAGGGGTGGGGCCCACAGCCCTAGAGGGAAAGGGGGTGGGGGAAACATCATACTGTACATCATGGCTCAGAGACAATGGCAAATTAGCATTTCGAGCACCGTCTGCACAGCCGTGCTGGGTTAAGTTCTCTCTGTTTGATATACCGCCTTTACTCTGCTGCAGAAACCCCAGGAGCTGCCTATTGTTACCCCACTGCACGGAAGAGGGCACGAGGGCCCAGCAAGTTGGGGTCACCTGTCTGACATCACAGGTTAACGGCGGCGGGAGGGAGGCACCTGTCCTCTACCTCTTTGCCCAGCCTGCAGCTGCCCTGTCCTTCCCTGCAGCCCATATATTACACTTTCTCCTTGATCCCAATCCATTTTGGCACTTCCCTGATGTCTGTTTCATGCTATTCTATAATTATCTTTCCCAACGAGATTATAAATTCCTTGAGAGCAGGGACCATGTCTTCTCAAATGCAACCGGCGTTTACACAACACCTAATGATGTGCAAGGCACAGACGTGGGCCGGGGCCAGCAGCTGCCTTCCAGGACCCGGCTGCACCCTGCTCTCCCCTCCAGGGACGGCCAGCACCAACGGCTGCGACGGGCTAGGTCCTGGGGCCTCGAGGAACGCAACCCTGGGGGCTCCAGGAGCCCAGGCCAGAACCAGAAAGGGTGACACACACCGACGTTCTCCGCCCAGCACCAACCTGCCCAGAGACGAGCTTGTGATCACAGGGTCAAGAATGGAGCCTCAGCCATGCCTGGATACCTGGGACAGGTAACTGAAGACGGCTGCGGGGAGGCTTAGCCTCGCCTTTATGGCCCCCTAGGAACCCAGCAATCATGACCACGACCCCCCAGAAGCAAATGGAGCCATCCATCCATGTGGCTCAGCGTGAGCCATCTTCCTGGGGGGGAGGATTGTTCGCATGAATAGGGAAGGTACCCCGGGCAGGACAGTCCATGCCAAGGTCTGTAGGGGGGAGCATTCTGGATGCTGACTGGAAATAAGAGTAGCTGACCTGGCGTCTTTGGAGGTAAACTTGCCCAGGAGCCGCGAAGCTGAAAAACTACCCACGATGTGGGGCAGCAGCTTCCGCAGCCCCTCCCCCACACCAGGCAGGGCTGCTAACGCTCCCTCTAGTGGCTGGAGCCCCCCCTGCCTCCCACCCCAGGGCCCCAGCCATGGCTGTGTTCCCATGCACCAAGCCCTCTCGCTCTGGCGTCGCTCTGGGGCGGCCCGCAGCTCCAACCACCAGAAGGTTCTCCAACAGCAAAGAGAGCATGTGTTCTGGAGTCAAACAGACCCGGCAGTTGCTGTGTGATTCCGGGGAAGTGGCTTCACCTCTCTGAGCCTGTGTCCTCACTTGTACAAAGGGGATAAAGGGTCAACTCGACAGACCTGGCAGATGGTCGGGGGCTCTGGAGCAGTGACAACGATGGGGGAGGGTCTGCTTGTCCGGGCGTATGCTACACCCAAACTGGGGTGCCCAGGGCCCCAGGGAGGGGACAGCTCTGCACTAAGGCATGTCCCCACTGGCAAACTATAGGGCTCTCAGCCCAGAAGAGATGACTTGCAGGGGACACTTCCCAGCTCCCAGAGGGCCAAACGCTGGGGCTGGACTATGAGTGAGGAGGAGGACCCAGGTGCAGCAGCTTCTCCAGCCATAAGTTGGGTCCTTCTGCTTCCCAGGTGGCCTTGGCCCCAGGGTCGCACACTGGTGGGCAGTGGTGGACAGCACCTTCTACCTGCAATGCGGGGAGCACGGATGGATGGCCCCACCCCAGGGGTTTGGCCCACATACTCACATCGTCCACCTTTGGCTCTGTCACAGGGACCCACTTGTAGATTCGCAGGGATGTGTCACCCACAGTCACCCACTTCTTCTCCCTGCAGAAGATGAGGAAGAGCTCGTTACCGGGGGGTTTCTGGGGCAGAACCCTGCGCACCCCTCATGGGGGACATGGGCCTTGCAGTAGCTGGGACACAGGGGCTGCTCAGCTTGGGGTCAAGGGAAGGAGCTCCAGATCACTCCAGATCTAGTGGCTGGGGGCTGCTGGGCAAGTCATTCACCAATCTACACCTCTGTTTCCCCGTCTGTTAGACCACACAGGGTCATCAGTCTCTGGGCTGTCATGAGGATTACATGAGACAGCATGTGTGAAAAGCTTCCCCATGCCTTGAAGGATGTGCCTGGTGAGACTGGGCGGACAGAGGGGCTGCCATTAAAGAGGACTGCTCTGGATGAAGAGAACTGTGCCCCAGGGTCCTCCAGCTTTTGTGCCTCACAACGCTGCCAACTCCATGGAGCCAGCGAACTGGGCCACCCCAACCCCTTGGGCAGCAGGGAGGGCTTTAGGCCAGCAGGGCATTTCCTCCCCAGGGGTTGAGGGGGGCTTCACCAAGGGCACCCACAGACTCACCCTGTCCTCCCCGCAATGCCTCTGAGGTCAGAGGAAGGAAGGCAGGAGAAGACAGCGTGAGTAACCACCCAGTGCTCTTCGGGGCAAACGCCATTTGGAGCAGCCGGGGGGGGGGGCGGGGAACAAGGGCAAACCTGGATGCCTAGTGGCCTTGGCCCCAAGGGTGGTCCCCAGGCCTCAACAGGGAAGCACAGCCTGGACAGCAGCCAGCCAGAAGGATGCCCTGAGACCCCACATCCCAGCTCCAAGACAGGCATGTGTTTCTGGGTCTTCCCTCCTAATACCCACATCTGCACACTGTCCCTGCCCCCGCCCCCACACAGCCTAAGCTCCTTGGGGGACCGCATCCGGGACCCCCGCTACTAGAAGCAGGTTTATGGGTAAGGACAAAAATCACAAGCCAGGAGAAGGAAACGGGGTGATTGGTTTTCATTAAAGATAATAATTAACACCCTCTCCTCCACACCACTGTGTTCCAAGCCACCATCATTCCCTAGATTCCTGCCACAGCCTCCAAACTTTGGTCCCTGACCCCTGCAGTCTACAGGTCAGGTCAAGTCACTTCTTGCCCCTAACACTGGGAATGAGAGCCAAAGGCTGTGCACCTGACAATATCGAGGCTCGGAGGAATCACCCAGAAAGAAAGCTGGGACTCCAAACCAAGCAGTTTGGACTCTAGGGTCCCCATTCCTGGCACCAGGCTCTGCCATCTCAGGAGAAGTGGGAGGTCACAAAGGATCTCTCTCGGCTGCTTAATTCAAGGAACCCACCGTGGGATGTCGGGCCCAGATGCACACCTAGGACAGGTGACAGAGCTGCCAGAAGCCGCCAACAAGTTTAGTGACAAGAGTTCCACCAGAACCAAAGTTTACGTGTGGCAAGAGCACCTCTGTTTGTGAGCTAGCAGGTACCTGACCAGCCTTCCCTCCATGGGGGGGTGGCCTTCAGGGGCTGGTGGGACACGTTACAGCCACCTGGCACTCAATTGCCACAGAGGGTTCGGGGCACCTGAGCACACTCAAAACCAGCTAACCCAAACCACAGAAATCTCCATTCCCCAAACTGTGCCTGTTCAGGTCCTACAGATTCCCTGCTGGAGGAAGCCACAGTCTGGCTTTTACTTATTTTAGGACTATTTCTAGTGTCTTCAATGTGCTAAGCTCCCATACACATTTGCTCTAATCTTCCCATAACCTTGTGTGGCAGGAACAGTCACCCTCCCCATTTGACAGATAAAGAAACTGAGGCATGAGAAGGTGAAGTCTGTCTCTCCGGGGCCAGTATTCAAAGCCACACTGCTTTAGGAGCAGCTTCTCCCACCCCCATTCCTGCCCCCTTTCAGCCCAGAAAGAATAAAATGAAGGCACATATCTAAGTCACCACCCACCCATCTCCTACATCTTGGAGGCAGAATGGACAGCCCATAATCCGTGTCCTTCCCCACCTCCATTCTGAATAATCAGAAGGTACCTGGAAGGGACGGGGCATTCCAAGGAACAACCTTGGTGACAAAGCAACAATCGTAATAGTCATTGTGTGCTGAAGCTTACATCTGCCAAGTGCTTTATTTACAATCAAGCCCTCTCCCCCAAAGACTGCCCAACAAGCCTAGGAGAGGGGAGCCACTGTCACTCCATTTTATGGGTGGGAAACAAGAGGTCCAGAGAGGTTACATAACTAGTTCATGGTCACACAGCTAGCCCAAGGCAGAGTGAGGACTGGACACAGGCTCCGACTAGAGCCCACTCTGCTATTCTGTCTCCTGTGAAAAACTAAGAAATCATTCCACAGAGCACATCGGTTACAGAAGCTGGACACAGAAACACAAACTGCTAGCATCCCACGCAAATGGCCAAAGGCGCTCACTACTCACAGCCCCTCAACCGGCTTCCTCGGCCAGGGCCCCAGTAGGTCAGCAAATCCAAGGTTTGGTTGTGTTAAAAAACAAAAACAAAAGTAACTGACGTGCAAAACACAGGACATGTCTCAAGGCAGAAAGCGTGTCAGGTCTGGGCTTTGCAGCCTGCATGCCGGCCAAGATGGACCCTCAAGTTGCACGTGCCTCCCAGAGTGGCTGAGGGCCCTGCAACCTACGGGCAGACTGCAGCCAGGGTTCTCGTGCTCCCCTTTGCCCCAGTTGGTGACCCCTTGGCCTGAGTCCCCTCCAACTCACCCCAAGGATTAGAAACCTTTCTTCGGTTGCACTTCTACCGGACACTGAGGGGCTCTAGGACATAGGGCAAAGCATTAAGAACCCAACCTCGGGAATGGACCTCAGGACTGCCCTCTGCCCAGGAGCCCCGCAGGGAGACGAGGCCCTGGAACGCGGGTAATGAGGCAGAGCAAGCACCAGGGAGGACAGGAAGCGATTTCACAGACATGACCAGTGGGCTCTGGGTGTCTCCTCAAGCTGGCAGCTCCTTGGAAGACAACACACGGGCTCAGGGAAACAATGGAGCTCCCCAAACCATCATCCCAGAACACGCAGCCCTGGCCCTCAGTGAGGGAATCAAGCTGTACTTACTACTTTATAGTTGGGGTGGCAAACAAGTGGCCAACAGGCATGTTTTGTCTGGCCTGCATATTAGTTTTTAAAATTTGAATCAATTGCCAAACTTTAAGAAGAAAAAAGTGAAACACCACATAAAAATCCAGATTCCTGATGACTCTCACAAAGGCGGTGACGTGGCCACGAGGGGCCCACGTGCATGAGGAGTCAGGGCTCTGTCAGAGCCCCCAGCACTCACCCCCCACCCCACTGGAGGCACTGGGCCCAGATTCACCACAGCCAGCGGGCACACCCCCACCTTGCCGCAAAGCTGCCTGTGGGCCCCCCGGTAACCAGCCAGGCTCAAGTACTGCTCTCTGCCCCTCAAGACTTGGGCTCCTGGACAAAATGGCAAATGGGGTCCCAGCTATAGTAATAAAGCCCCAAACACTCCCCCGCCCCCAGCATAGGTTCCCATATAAACCGCAAGCACCCGCCACAGATTTTCGAGGCTATGGTCAATTTTTAATGTTTTCCTGGGTCCAGGTCCAAGGGCTAGCCAAGATGTTGGGGTCACTGCCCAAGGGGGACCCTGCTGACTCCCTCAAAGAGACTGCAAATCCCTCACTTTGTATCACTTCCCAGGGTTAGTCCTTGACACCTGAGGAGGCCTTGTCTACGGCTGGTGTCTTCCTAACTAGGCCCAGGCTCACCTGACCTGCCCTGCATCTGGCAAGAGGGTAACCCCAAAGGTAAAGAGGTGTGGCCCTAAAGATGGGTGGGTGGGATGTGTGGGACGTCTCCAGGGAACAGGCCTCTCTCCTTCAATAAGTCACTGAGGGACCCTTCAGACCAAGGGCTCAGGGGTTCCAGGCCTAAGCCTATTTTGTGGCTCAAGCCTTTGTCTCCCACCCAGTGACCCTCCTCCCTTGCTATTCTCCACCCACACTGGGCCCCTAACCCTGGCCCAGTTTCCCAAAAAGGGGCCCACCATTTTGTTCTTCTTCCAGCCATCTTGTGGCAGCCTCACAGCCTACCAGCCTGCCTTGCTGGGACACCAGACGAGGGAGGGAAAATGGCTGGCAGCTAGGGATGGGGTGGTCACGGCTGACTGCTGGCTCTTTCTGGGGACGAGGGAAGGGAAGGGTTGGCAGAGGGGGGATTTTTAGGGATCACCAGGGCTGAGAAGAAATACCACCCTACACTCACAGGATAAATGGTATGCCAGACACCTCTGTTCTCTGGATAAAATATGAGATGCTGAATTAAATTTGAATTTCAGATATGTTAACAGTTTAGTATAAGTATGTCCCAAGTACTGCATGGGACATACTTACACTAAAATTTATACACATATATCGCTTATTTTTTAAAAGTTATTTCATTGTTTATCTGAAATTCAAATTTAACTGGGTGTCCTGTAATTTTATTTGCTAAATCTGGCAACCCGATGTCCCAGACACTAGTGAAAGGCATGGTTGGTGGCCACGCAGTTAATAAACAACCCAAAGCCTCAAGGACTGACTGGAAGGCCTATTCTAAAAGTACAGCGAAGGTGAGATTTGGCTTCTCGGGGCTGGGGAAACCCTGAAAATAAGGCGAAGTCTTTTTTGCTTAAAACGGGCAGAAAGAAAAAAAAAAAAAGAAAATCAGCAAAACACGTACTTTATGGCGTCCACCTTACAATAAGGACACCGTTAGTGACTGCTTCTGTTTGCAGGAATAGGTGCTTTTGGAGACATGATCTCGTTCTAGGAGGGAGAAAGCAGCACCAGACCCATGGCTGCCATGGTTAAAGAAGTTCCGCAGTTTGCCCAAGGTCACGGCAAGGAAGTGAACTGGAAGCCCAGCCAGGAGATCCTGAAGCCTGAAGTCTTTATCATGACCTGTTTCCCGAAACACAGGGAGGGAGGGAGACCCGTTCTTCTTCCCTTCCCCCAAACACAGGCCAGGCCAGAGGGGGGCCCCAGGCTGCCTGTTCTGCCACCCCCCAGGGTAGAAAGCCCTATAGGTCCATCTGCCCTCCCTGCAGAGCACTGGCAGACTGGCTCCACAGAAGCATCTGTCAGGGTACCGAGCCTCTGTCCTGCTGGGAACCTGGAGCAGAAGGCCCCACCACGCCTCTTGGAACAGAGAAAGGCAGCTTGCCCCCAGCCCCTTTCTCACCTCCAGGCCTTGACAGAAGGGAATCAGGGCCAGACACCGGTTCTTTCTTTGCCCCGGGAATAAGGCAGAGGACAACCCCAGCCTTCCCTCTGGGAATCCCACAGGAGAGGGGACTGTGGGCTTGTTTTCCCGTGTGTGTTTTGGCCTGAAGCTGTTTCTGCCATTTTTAAATGGCTCCAGTTGGGCACTGGGCACCCTGCGTGCCCCGGGGAAGCTCCCACAGCACCGAAAACTCGGATCTCAACTTTGGAAGGCCTCCCCTTCTCACGGTTCTGAAAATTCTTTGTCCCACTGGAGCCAAACCCAGCCCTTGGCCGGGCATCCGGCCATCCGCAGACAGCCCTTTCCATAGGAGGCCCGGGAGCACGTGGACTTTATTGATTTTCCTCTTGCCTTTTTTGTTGGGTTTGACTCAGAAAGGACAGCTAACTTGTGACACGGCTAGGCTGGAGGCTCACCCCCAGCGGTTTTTAGAGACCAAGGCATTACTCAAGAAATGACACCCCTAAACATAAACATATCCCACCAAGGGCCTGCCCAGTTTTTAGTCTTTAAATAAAAAGGGTCAGGACGAGCCCGCGGGGGCTGACACTCGAGATCGTCGCGGCTGCTCCTCTCCCTCCCTGACCCTGGTGAAGCCGTGGGAAAAAAATAATAAAGTTGAAATCAAGGAGCCGGGAGTTTTCAACAAGTCTGCCCCAACCTGAGGAGGTGCTTGCGCCTGGGGCCTGGCCCGCGGGCCGATTGGGAGCCAGACCCCGATGAGGCGGCGAACGCGTTCAGTCGTATTAATTACAACAAGGCCACGCCGGACAGACTCCAACGTGAGCTCGAAGAACACGCACGGCCAGCACCGAATCTCCTCTCCCCCGCGCAGAGAACAAAAACAACGGCTCTCTCGGCAAAACAAACACGAGCCGCTGCTTTGGGAAAGGCAGACTCGGCCGAGGACCGGTTTCTGGCCAAAAAGATTCGCCC